TCAAACTGCAAGAGCTATTGGTATATTAAAAGAATTTTCAAATATTTCATTTATAAAAACTTCTCATGCTATGGAGATTTTATTACAAACTATTCACTGTGCTTCAGTAGAACTTCAAGGCGCAAGTATTATACAATCTTCAGCGGTTAATTTGTTACAAAATACGAAGCAAAATATCCAAAAAATGCGTAACGATACATTTTGGGATAAAATTAATACCAGCGCAAAATTAGTTGCTGAAAAAAATGAAATAGTCTATGAAAATAGTTCAAGAAATAGAAGACCAGTGAGATTAAATAGAAATCTTCAAGATTTTTTTGTTCAATCAACAATAGGACAAGGAACTTATGAAAATAATAGCAATACATCAATTGAAAATAACTTGCCATTGAGTGATATAAAAATTATTTTTTATACTGCAATTGACAGGTAAAAACTTAAATCAAAATTATTAATAAGTATCATTTAATTGAAAAACTAACTACTTTTATCTGCATTAATTTGATAGTATATATTTTTTATTTTATTGTTTTAGGTTTTTGAATGAACTAAACCATCGCTTCAGCAATCCTAGTAATGAAATAGTTCTTACTTGTAACATTTTCTCATCCTCTAGTATTGATTATTTTAATTTAAAAAGTCCCCATTTAGTTACCTTTATTGATCATTATAAACATTTTAAAATTAATTATGAAAATCTTCAATGTGAATTTCCATCTGCAAAAAATTTAATAAATCATGTAAACATAGACAGAGATGATGGAATTCATGACCTTTATTCTATTTCAAAAATTTTAAACCAACTTCCAAATGGTTTTCAAGAAACTCTTAAAATTATAAATATCCTTATGACTTTGCCTGTGACTACTGCATCCAATGAACGCTTCTTTTCTTCTCTAAAATTAGTTAAAACCCATCTACGGCTAACAATGGGAAATGAACGGCTGAGTGATTTACTGGTCATTGCGGTGGAAAGTGATGTATCAGGTAAAATTAATTTAGATGATGCGGTTGATATATTTTCAAAAATTAAAAAAAGAAGATATCCTTTGATAAATTAATAATATTTTTCTTAATTAATAAAAATTGTTATATTTAATAGTTTACAGAGTTTTAATTGGTATAGGATTGTACAGATGTTTTTATAAAATATCTGCTATAATATATTTGTACATTTTGTTATTAACCAGTTAATAAATAAGCTTGTAAAAATTATACCAAAAAAAAATCTTATTGAGTATAATTACAAATAAGTGAGGTTGGGTATGGTAATTTGATAAAAATGTAAGTAGATATAATGCGGTTGCGAGCGAAGCGAGCGGTTTTTTTTTACACATTCGGGCCGGTCAAAACCTTTGCCCCCCTCTACTGAAAACTGAAATGACGCCACTGAATGTGGCCAAATTATTTGAAACTTTTTTCTTTTAAAATATTTATTCGTTATTTAAAAATAGAAGGTTATTATATATTATTAACTTATGCCTAGTCACTGCCCACCTAACTATTGCCACCATGCTATAACTATTCATTTAAAACAATTTTTGGAGGGGTCTAAATCGTAGTCGGAAAGGGGGGGGGGGGGTTCTTTAGCCCTCCATCCACCATAGTTGCGCCTCTGTACATGGGCCCTATATATTTGGTCGCTCACCCATCAATATGTACCAAGTTGCAGCAATGCATATACCTATATAAAAGTATAAACTAATTGACAGAGCTTGAAGAGAGACATCAGGTGTACAATATAGAGAGAGCGAGAAAAGAAACAAAATAGTATATAATGTATACCGACAGTTCCTTATGCGGGCTCCTTGAAGGAGTGGAGTGGAGTGTGCTGCAAAGTAGTTTATAGGACCAATAATAAGACCGGGTCTATGACGGCGATAAGAAACTTTAAAAATAATACATTTCTTGTTGGCTGTTGTGGTTATTAGTTGTGGCTGTATATTAGATTATATTTTAAAATAATATAAAAATAATATAATAAGTCTATCGCAGAGTCAATATGCAATACCATCAATATAAAAAAAAAATGAAATCCCTTGAAGAACTTGCCGCCCCTCAAAATTTGCCACTGTAGGCACGTGCCTATAGTGCCTGCATATAAATACGTCACTAACCTTCTATAAAAAAACACATCATTGCTTAACTATTTTGTTCAGAATCTAAAACAATAGTAATATATAATTATTATGTTTAACTATATATGTACTTTTTGGTAGGTATTATGGAATATTTTCAGTATTTTTGGTATATTATATTGTATACCGATGTATACGAATGTACAGGTACTTAGTTAAAATAATTTTAAAAGGGATAATATGTAAATATACATAATTATATGTTTGAACAAATTATTATAATAATATGATGTTGTGGCTGTACCTAATATATAAGCGCCAAAGATGTAAAAAATTAATATAATTTTTACCAATATAAATATTTTATACTAGTACCTATTTTATATAATAATGTTACAGTCGATTTTTTATTTTATATCGATAGGTACATATAAAAATCTAGGTGGACAAGTGGGTACCGCTCTGCTTTACAGTAGTTGTCCAGCATGCCGTTGTAATAGATGTGTTATATTTAAATTCAATGATAAATCATTGAATCCGGAAAAAGGTGCTCTGCTGCAGTAGCGTGCCGAACTGACAAGCAGACCTGAGGCAAACTATACAATTTGATCCCCCTCCCCACCACCAACAGTTTTTTCACTATTTTTTTTTTATTATTCAAAATAATAAATATTATTAAGTTTTTTTAGGTATAAGTTGCACATCTATACTAACACACCCACCCACCTACCCGAATTTTCCCTGAGGCAATTGCCTAAAAAAAATTACTATTCAGCACGCATTTGCTCTGCTGTACAGTAGGTTACAAGTGGGTCTCTGTATAATGGAAGGTATTAAATTTGAATTCAATGATATAATATCATTATATAAGAAAAACGATTCTGAGCGGAAACGGTATGTCAGTCTAGGTATAGGTAAGACATATTATATACTTATCTATGGTATTAAAAACAATTTATCTATAATAGGTACCTATAGTAAATTCCAAATTAATCATATGACAATATCCATTAGGTATATATATAACGCGTTATATGTCAACAACAAACCGTGATACTATAATAGATATATAATAGTATACCTACTTTATAAGTTTCAATTACCCAATAATAATATTATACAATCACAACAAAATAACTAAAATAGTCTACGCTTAAAAAGCGTCAAAATATTTTCAAAATTGTATGGTGTATAGGAAATCCTAATATAAACATTCAGTGAAATTTTCATGTGTCTACAGTTCTTCGTTTTTGAATTACAACAAAATAAGGAAATCGCCACATGAGAAATCGATTGATGAATATCCAATGTTGTAAAAACTTGAATTTCAAACGGTCATAAAAATTTAATTTGACTTTCTTATAGACATTTCTTTTTTTGATAAATGTAGAAAATCTTATGAGGAATTTTTATTACATTTTAAAATCTTAGATTTAAAAAGAAAAATGTTTACGAATTCATAAGTCAAAATATTTTGCTAATTTTCGTGATTTTGCCATATTTTGTAAATTTTTGAACTTTAAATGCTTATAAAAAAAAACTGTGACTACGGATTTTTAATATTTTTCATCTGCCTATGAAGTAATATACTAGGAGCCTTCTATTAAATTTTCAAATTCCTTTAACCAAAAATTTCATTTTATTGATATTTTTAGAAAAAAAACTAAAAAAAAATGAAAATGTTTAAGCTAGTTTAAAATAAATCAAAATATTTTGAAAATGTTATCGTGTATAGAAAATGCAAATATAAACAACCAGTGAATATTTCATGTATAAACAAATTTGATTTTATTAAAAATCGATTTTGGGTAAAAATTACTGTTTTTCCTTAATTTTTCTTTTGTTTTTCTTGGCGCTTTTGAAAATTACTAGGAATTTTAAATTTAGCATTCAATCGAAAAAGATTCGATGAAAGTTTCAAAGGTCTGCAGTTATTAGTTTTTGAGTTATACACCAAAAAAATAAAATCAATTATTTCAAAAATTGGTTTTGAATAAAAATGACCACTATTTTTTCGCTTTATTTTTTTTTCTTGAAGCTTTCAATTTAAACTTTCCAAAAGTACCAATTAGATTCACCATTTACTATCCAAAATGTTGCTAATGGACAGAAAAAAACACACATCACACAAAAAAACACATCACCGCTCAGAATCTAAAATGAATGTCTGTCCTTGTCCTTTATGCATTCCTTAAAGGCTTTAGACCAATTGTGATGACATTTTGTGTGTGTGTTTGAGTGGCCACCGAGATAAATATTATATTCACTATACATATAGGTTGATGTTTTATTATTTTTCCTTAAACGCGTTAATTATTTAAAGCAGACACAACATTTTATTTTAATAATTTATATTAGCATTGATTGTCACCCACTAGAAGGTATGTATACTCAATAGTATTAGGTAGGTACCTAAAGTTTTCTAGAATTAGTAGAATTTTAATTTATAATAATGAACATGTTAATATAATGTGATATTTTTTTAATCATTATATACCCATATTGTTTTTATTATGTGGTTACAGACAAAAAATGAACAGTTTTTAAAATTATACTTTTCTAGAATATACATTCATTTAGTTATTTGTATAATTGTGGTTACCAGGTGGCATTCAGTATTTTCTATTAAAAAACATGGGTAATTATCTACGTAGAACAAATGCCTAAAGTAATGCATTGGGTTTGTCAATATATTATGTACTGTTATTTTAATATATTAAAAAAAAAAACAATGAATGTTTTATGAAAAAATAAGAACGTGCCCATATTTTTTGGAACGTTTATTTTTATGCAATTATCTTCATATATGAGGTAGCTGTATAAAAGTATGTGTTGTTGATAAAACGAAAATATTGTGTCGAGAGTTTTTGTTTTAGTGAGTAAAAGTTAAATATATTACAAACATACACCGGACTTGTCAAGATGAAATTGAACACATCACTTTTTATATGTCTATTTTTTTCTGCCATAATTGCCATTAAGGTAAATATTAATACGCTGACATTGTTTGTATGAAAATATAGACTAAAATGTTATTATACGTCGAGTATATTATACATATTGTGCAATGTACATTACCTACATATTATAATATTTTAATCGTCTTTAAGTTACATGAACGATTACAATTTAAGTAGGTATTTTAAATATAGAGATATAGGCTTACGTAGAGTACTATATTATACTACCTACTTAAGAGGACGTCGCACCCACATGTGTGCAGGTCCTCGTCTTCCACACGGAGGACATAACACATTTTCTTTCCCCAGTTTGCAGTGTGCGCTGTTACTTTTGATATTAGAGTGAATTGACCTATTATCAAACGCGTTTAGCTAACAACATTATATGAGTTCTCTCGTTGGTTTTTTATGATATTTTAATTTTTATATGAGTTATGCGTATGTATAGCATTAATATTGTAAGATGCTCATAAATCACTTAAAAATTAAAAACATCGTAAAAAACCAACGAGAGAACACATATAATGTTGTTACCTACACGTTCGATAATAGGTAAATTCACTCTAATATCAAAATTAACAGCACACTATTGAAACTGGAGAACGAAAATTTGTTTTGTCGTCAGTGTGGAAGACGGAGACAATACGTCATGCGTGGCGACGTCCTGTTAATGTACCTACGTTATCCGCTTGTATTCATTTGACATTAAATATTATACCCTAATTTATTTATATATATAGGTACCTACATAAAAAATAAATGTTTTTAGATTCTAGAATACGGAAGTTTATTATATGTATATTATAATTTTTTTAAGTACTTCGTACATCGTATATTATGTTAGTATGTTACTGTGAATGTTGGATGTCCACAGTTGCTAAAAGCTTTCAGTCACCCATGAATGTCTCGTCCATCAAAATCAATAGTGAATGTTGACGTGCTATACATAGACGGTATAATATATCTATACCTCTAAAACTCGAAGTGCTATATAATTGTAAATGCCTCACCTAATTGTGGTAGGGAGGGGACTTCATATTGATAATAAAAACAAAATATATATAATAAATAATAATACTATTCTTGTTATATGAAGATTGAGTATTGACTGATAAAACGTTAATATAAAACTCATTGGCGTGTAACAGTAATATTAATAAACAGTCCACCAATTAATAGTACCTATACTTCTATAAAGTGCATTTTTATTGGCTAAAAATAGCTCATATAAGGCAATCCATTTATCAGTAATGTGCTCCTTATGCTAATTGTCTTATAGGAATATGTAATAATTTATAACAAATTAATATTATAACTATTACTCTAAGTCATATTAAAGACCCTTTTGCTCCCCCCTATTTGGGCCAATTGTGTTATACTGTAATTTATTACACATTTACGCTTTTACTGTTTGTAAGCATTCATTAGTCACTCGTGAGACGTGATGTCGACATTTACATAGCGGGATTGATGAATTAAGAATTTGGTAAATGGTAATGCCCACTGTGTTTTCTATAAAGGTAATCTCGGGATAACGCCATAACGGGAAAGTCACAATAATAATAAGTGGTGGCCGGTGGGTAAGGGTATACACAATGCAAGTATGCAATAAGAAAACGAAGTGCATCACCAAAGTGCATAGTAGAAGTGAACTGAGTATTTATGTAAGTGTACCTAAGTATAGGTATAGACGTATAGTTTGTTTATTTATAACACCATTTTTCTCATTTTTTTTAGCATAATATTTTTTGTTAAATAAAATAAATTAATAATAAAAATATATCCAATAATAATAATTTAATGCATCTTGTAGTAGATACCTATTTCATGTATTATTATCTATAGTCTATTATATATGCACATAAGTATGTCAACATTAATCAAAACTGTGTTGTGTATATTAACATTGACCAAAATCATCATGCAAATTTCGATATTTACTATGGACTAGGTATATCATTGTACCTACATAAATGTCCAATTTCTGAATTTGTCAACATTTGCTAATTTAGGATGTATTAGAATGTATTAGTGTGTCTAGGAATCAAGGATGTGTAGTCGAAATTCACTGGACGACTGTCAGCATTTACATGCATTCACGATAATGTATGTAAAAATATTTTTTTATACTGATGTAGCCATATAGGTAGGTATATTTAATCAAATCACAAACCACTTAGAAATGCATTGTTTATCATAAAATGATGGACTTTCTAACCTAACTACTACATATAATAATAGTATCTACTATAAAAGTTACGTATCTTCTTAATTTATAAATATTAGAATAAATGATAGGTACTGAAAAGTAAATGTTTTTTTTCATTTTATTTATCACTTTACAATTTATATCGAATTTTATGTATCGTTATAATAATAATTTAATACAAAATAAATGTTAATGATAATTTAAAATACTATTGATGATTGTAATTTTTTGGCTGTAGTATTTTTATTAAATTGTCATATATAAGCTGTGTTTTGTATAAACAAATTAAACAATATGTAGCGTTATTAAAGATTTACTTTAAAATACAAATCGTTGGTTATATACATTAATAATTAATTTAATAGGTACCTATTAATTATTATAGAAAGTAGTAACAACACTACAACTTAGGCAAAAAATATTAGCTTCACATTTAACTAAATACGTGGCAACTTATAAATATATAATATACTTAGGTAGGTAGGTACCTATATAAGTATATTGGTTAAAAATAATATCCTTCAATTTGGTGTACGGTATACCTATATCTATATGACTAAATGTATGGCTAAGTACCCATTGGTGGTCGGTACAACTGAAATTATAAGGAGCTGTGTACTATATTTTGTATCTTATAGATTTATATTTCATTAGGTCGGTAAATTAGGTACTGGGAAGTCTACGAGGATGGTAATGCAGGGAGTTACTGTTGCCTCCACACCTTTTTTAAATTGTCTTGGTATATTATAATGAATTTTTCTGTAACTAATCTGTTTCTGAGTACATCAATATTATATTTGATTTATGCTATGTGGTAAAATTGTCTGTCCATATAACCTCTTAAGAGCAGAGGCGCAGTTAGCCCCCCCCCCAGTTTTATCTGTAGCCTCACCCAGTATTTTAATCATGTTTTAGTTTAAAATATAAATTATCAAGGTCTGTTCTTCCCCTTATAACCCCGCTCCAGAAAAATGTCCCTAGTTACGACTATATGCTTAAGAAAACGTCGTACCCATATTCAAAATACGAGAATAAATGGATTATTTTAAACTTACGATTTGCTATATTATGCGTTTGTAAAACTGAGGCAATATCATTTTTAGGGGCTAGGGATATTTATAAACTTTAGAAAATTTAAAATTTAAATATTTTATATGTCGATAAAAAATGTATTCTAAAACGTTTGAAAATTTAATACAAGGTTCGTCTTAACAATTCATGTTTTTATTACTGGAATCAAAAAAAAACGTAAACGCAAATCCACAATCAATTTTGATAAAAGTTCAAATTAAAAATGTATATATTTAACATATATTAATATATTATACAACAATTTTGATAGTAAAAACCTTTATCTAAGTCAAGTAGTTTATTTTTTAGAATTTTTTAAAATATCAATATTTTTTCGATTAAATGAATTTGGAACATAATAATTTTTTTCAAAATATTTTTTTTGGAAATTTGCTGACATGAGTATATTTCTTAAATTATTTACTACTCATTTTTGTCATACGTTTAAGTAGCATCATTTTTTTTTTCTTTAAGTCTTTCTGTTGCGCCTTTTATACAGGCATAAAACTATAATTATTTTAACCAATTACCAACCGTAGTTTAGGATGCATTGGACTTATTTTAACGTGTTTTTTAGTACAATTTCCATTGTATCGATATGACGATATAGCGAAATACGGTTTAGGAAGCTCTTATAATATAATATATAGAGTTGAATATATAATTTTTTTTTTTTTTGAGTTAATCAATGGACGGAAGAGGAACCACGTTAGTAGGTACTACTTCTCCTCCGGAGCATTACTTCTTCTCCGGATGAATATATAATTTATAAGTGTTTTTATTGACTATCGATTGGGATTAATATGAACCCATTGAATCACAGTTTTTTCATTTTTTTATAATTATGATAAAATCAAAGTAAAACCTCATCAATATATTAGGTAGGTATGTCTTATAATGAAATGTCATGTTTAAACATATTTATCTAGGTGACCTTAATCCTTATACAAGTATCTCTTTAAGTTTTTAGGTGTCGGTAAATTCATGAGTAAAAACTGTACTACTTAGATAGTTAGATGGCAGTTGCAAATAAATTGCAATACACGCCAAATTTAATCAGAATTAATATTTTTGTGCAATCATTTATCCATTTATCATCAAAACAAATTGTTAATATGTACTATACTCTGTTCAGGTTAAGAGTGCCCAGTCTTTCGGATGAAAACTATACTCTGTTCAGGTTGACAGGTTAAGAGTTCCCAGTCCCTTGGATGAAAACTAGTACTGTTCGCGCATGCATCTTGCTACGCGGCTCAGTTTTCATGCGCGAGTTTGGGCACTCTTAACCTAAACAGAGTATAGTGTCTAGAGACTATTATAGTGTATGAGTGTATCTGAGTATGATAAGTAAAGTATTTCTTGATTTGTTCCTATAACAGTACAACCATAACCAATAACTTATGGCACATATTACAAAATGGCCCTATTCACAACAAACGAGTAACGACGCTATATATAGGAATAGAACGAATAAAATATAGAGCTACAGTTCTTAAATATTGTGGTACCTATGTGCAAAGGCGCAATTTGAAGGGGGCTTGGGTGTGCTTAGCACCCCAGATTTTGAATTTAGCACCCCCAAATTTGTTCATGTTAATTTACATTTTAAGCTGATTTCGATAACCATAAAATAACATGTAAAAAAATAGACGGGCTTTAGCACCCCCAGATTTTTCATTGAAATTGAGCCTCAGCCTATGTGAGTATGTGACCACCAGGGAGGGTGTCTGAAGTTAGTGATACTCATACCGAAGGTACTACCGGTGGTTCCGACTGTGCAATAAAGCAATTTTTAGGTATATATAAATTTGAAAGTATGTTATTATTTTACACTTAAGTTATAGCAACTTTTTTTCTCATGTACCTATCTTAAAAAGGTTATTTGAAATAAAATTGGGAATGGGGTCCATGATGGAAAAAGTCTTTATCATGGGTTTAAAATCACCCCATAATCATATATAACCTATATAAAAAAAATAGGTAACCGATAACATTTATACCTAATAATAGGTATAGCGAAAAAGGGAGAATAATATTCAACAACAAAAATTATAACATTTTTAGAAAAATAAAGCATACACCTTAGGTCCCGCTATATTACACAAGTATTGACTATCTCTGTCTAACAATATTGGCTCTTGGTAGACACGCAGTCTATATATTAATATATCTATACCCATGATTAGTAAAGGCAGGCGGACAAACAGAGTTTTTTTATATTGCTAGCCTTTGAACGAAATTTTAGTAGATATATGTGTTATAAACTAGCAAACATAATATTATTTATGTTACTTAATATTTTTAATGGGAATTTACGTTATTTATGATTTACCCAAAAATCAAGCTAAACTGCATTATTTCAATATATTTTTAAATATTTGATTTGCAATAGTCATTAGTGTTTATTACGAAGTAATATTATCTCAGTTATAACTAACATAGGGGATTTGGGTTTTGGTTTTTTTTTCTATAAATTATACTATATTAGTACTTACCAAAAAATAATAAATACATAAATATGGTTCGCCAGTTAAAAAACAGTCATGGGGGGAGATACGACATCCAAATCACCACGTAATTATGTCAATGGAAGCCTGTATACAGCTTTTAAATGATTATTAATTATTATTGTTATATTTGTACAAATAAAAACATAGTGTATGGTATCTAACTACTTGTGTCAGCCATGCAACAATTCAGAATAGGGATTAGGATTTAGGAGCAAAATAATATTGAGAAAAAAAACTGTAGGTTAGCTGATACCTCAAACCCACCCATGGATCGGATGGACCATACAATTATGGGTATATAACTACTATATTATGTATACACTGGATTGGACAAGATACTCAGAAATGAGAATTGTGATAGTATATATACCTACTAGATATACTTTCCTTAGGGTTGGGAGTATCGCAAATCGCAATAATAGATATTAGGTAGGTGAGCTATTTCACTAGCTGAATACCAGATTCTCGATACTCGAACCATTAAACATTGATTAAAAATGCAATAAATTAGATTATGGTTATTTTTGAAATGTATTTTTTTGTAGAAACATAAAGGCATTATATTTAATCAGTCAAAATAAAATTAAATAAAAAACAATGTACGTAGTGGCAGTGTTGGGTAAATTACTTTTAAAAAGTAATGAAATTACATTACACGTTACTTCAAATATTTTTATTTATATTACATTTGAGTTACCTAAAATTATATTTATCACAGTTACATTACTTTTTCATTAATAAAGTAGTGTGTTACAAATAACGTTACTTTTTTTATCATTTTTTTTTTAACCATATTCAATTCCTATGGTTCAATTATTATGTATATATTTAACAATCATAGACCTAGTGATAATATACCTATTATAATATTATGTACAAATGTACAATCATCTCATCTATATGGCTATATTATAGTCATAAGTCATAAATCATAGTCAAATTTTATTTTTAAACCTAACTCTTTTCTATCTGCTAATAGAGTGATAACATTTATTCCTGGAATGTTTAGTAATATTAATATTAGTTAACTATTATCGGAATCAAAAATAAACATAATTGATTTTAAATTTTTCTGTGCCATCCTATCGGCTTGTTTTTGTAATACATTCAAAACTATTATTTTAATAACGTGGAAAATAACGAGTTAGATCGTTACTTCATAGAAATTACTTTTCACAAGTAATTTTGTTACAATTGCTTTACTTTATGTAAAATGTAATGAAATTACTGCTGCGTTACTGAAAAAGTAATTGCGCTACAGTAATTATTGTAATTTGCGTTACGACTTATGTTACTACCCAACACTGCGTAGTGGCCATGTACGTAATCAATAATCAGTAATAAATCGCCACATTTATGATTTATAGGCAAATGACGACGACCAAGAAGAGTACGATTATCAGTCAACGGAAAATGTAGAAAACGAGATTCCTATAGAGGAAGACGAACAGGAAGTGAACATCCAAGAAGAAGACGGCAACCAGCAGCAGGAACCCGAAACAGTCCCTTTTCAGTATGAACCCAGCAAACGGGTGGAAGAGATGGAGAATGACATGCCGGAAAGCGATAAGGCATTCATCGGGGCTGGTAAGTTGAAGGCTACCATGATGGACACGTACGCGAACGCGATGGCGACGGATGCGGCCCGGAGCGGATTCTCCAATGCAAATTACGAGTGGCAGCTGGTGCTCGAGGGTCCGGAAGCTGCCAGGGTGATCGGAACGTCCGGCCAGAACTTCAACACGATTGTCACGTCCGCCGAAGGCGCGGACATGATCAACATGCTGGCCACCACCGTGCACGTGCTGTTAGCCAAGGCCGGCGAGCAGAAGATGAGCTCTGGGCTCAGAGACATCATGTCGATGACGTACTCGCTGTTCACGTCACCCTACATGCCCGAGATCGTCAACATGGTCGGTGGGCTGGTCATCACTATCGCGAACAAACCCGGTGCCCCACTGTTCACCAGGACGTACTGGAACGAGACTAGGAAACTCTTGTCTGATAAGAACCTCAATGAAAAACTGAAAAAGTATTTCGCCAACATAATATCCATGATGAAGTCATTAAGCGGAATAATGAAAGGCGGCAAGCAAGTATTGAGCAGACGTAGACGTGCCATCGCGTAGTAATAATATTATATACATCATTCACATATATACAATATTATATTAGGTACATAAGTACATTTACAAACGGTATAGGTACCTACTTACCTACATAATGTATAATTTATATAATAGTGTGGCATCGTAATTTTACACATATAACACCGCAGTGACCTATATATATACCACATGTCAACCCGTTTGTACTTTGTTATAATAATACAATTACTATTAAATTATTACCACTACCATTATTATAATATATGAAAAAGTATAATATAAGCTATAATATAATAAACTAACTGAATATCCCGGCTCCGCCGTGTGCAGTTTGTTTTTGTGGCAAATCCAATATATAGAATATACCTTATAAAGGTGTACCTATCTCGGTTTGAGTGTATCTCAGTTTTAGTGTAGGTACCTACCTCAGTTCACGGCTTGGTGTATTTTTTGATGTAGTTTAAACTTTAAACTACGTAGTACTTACTAGTGTTTGAAAATTTCATGAAATTTATAAAAATGAAATATTTCAGTATTTTAATATATTTTGTTTTATTTTTAAATAAGTTTTAAATTTACATATAATTGTCATAAATTACCTTCATCACTATATGGTACCTGTATGTATACCTAACCTTTGGTATTATACATTTAAATTGGTATTCAAATTTTTAAATATTTTAATGTTTAAACGATACAAGTAGGTATACAATATTATACATGTATATTGTTTACTTACTGAATTCTGACATTAGAATTTAGAACACTGAACATTGTGTTAAAAAAAATAATAAATTGTGTTTTTATTTGTGTTAAAAAAAATTTCAATGTTTCATGTTTTTGTGAAATATTTCTCATACTTCAAACACTAGTACTTACTATCTAAACTTTTCAGACATTTCTAAAAACAAAATGTGAGATTTTCGTCAAATTCTATTGAGTACCTAGTTTTTAAGTACCACCTACGTACATCGATTCGGTTTTAAGATATAGTTACTTTATTTGAGGTCATAAGCCTGGCAATTTAATGCATATTATCTGATCTGCCTGAGTAACCAATGGTGACCACTTATAAACAAAAAAAAGTTACAATTTCCACAAGATCTCTGTTTTTTCACCTCTTTAAAATGCGCATATCGAAAAATCCTTTCGTATTGCACATCTTGAGCATTAGAGGAACCACTATTCCAAATTGCAGGTTTGTACGTTTTGAGTGATTTCTACAATATTATTATTTCATTGAATTCAAATTTAACACCACCCATTTCAGTGGACAGTGACCCACTTGTAACCTACTGTACAGCAGAGCGACACCAACTCGATTGCATTTGAATACTCCCAATATTTGTTCTTTTTCAAACGTATTTTTCTACCACTATTAAAAGTTAAATGAAAATTCGGCCTTTGATTCAACCTGAAAAATATTCTCCTTTTAAATAAAAAAACAACTAACGAAATCCGACTATCCTACAGGGTGTGAGTTTTCCCTGTGTAGTCATTTTCGTTGATATAGTACACCGTATCAAACCCCCCCCCCCTCTGAATATAAGTATCTAAGAGTCGTGCACGCTCACGTGGGAAATACACCAGACTACCATCCGACAAAAAAGATACCATCACCTGTCCAATACCATAAAAACAAAAATTTGGATCCATAAATCTGAGTTATTCAAACACAAATACGAGTCCTTATGTTCTAAAGATGGGTCCTTATGGGGACCACCAAAAATATTCTAAAAATAAAAGATCAACCTTTCCATTAAAAAAAAAGCAGACTGTACCTTAGCATTTTCGGACGTTGACAAAGTTACCAACTACCGTACTTGTCGAAGTATCGGACTATTATTACACAAAATATATTAGAACAGTGCACAACCAAATGTAACGATCTGCTGGTCGATATGGTACGGAATAAAGACATTTTCGGAGTAGTTTCTATTTCATTATTAAAATGCTCAGAGGTCGACTTTCTTTTTGATAAATTTACAAAATTATATAAAAATTAATATTTGAACTATATACATAATATTAAAATTTAAAACTATTTATTAGTAGCAACTAGCAGGTACTTACCGTATACTTATACTAATACCTTTCTGAACATTCTTCATTTTTTTATGGTTACCTTTTTTACCTATTCGAGCTCGTTTATTAGAGAGCGATCTTGTATTTTTCGGTGACATTTTATTAAAATTAACACAACCAAGGCCGGACTGGGTCAACAATTTCTACCGGGAAAAAAAATAATCGGCCCACTTAGGTATACCTATAAAAACAACCTTAAAAACATATTTTTCCGAGCATAAATGATTCTAAATGATCATGACTCAATGAATTTCTTATTCTATTGAGAATATATTTCAATTTTGAAAACATTCTTTCACAAGCTACTTGTGTTGACGACAGTGATAGAATGAATTTGTATGCAAAAAATAGTGTCTTGTAAGCTTCGCTGTACAGATTATATTTCAGTAGTACTATATAGCAACACAAAATACAATTTCGACACGCTTTAATTTTATTACATAATATTGACGATTTTTTTTCAATTTCTAAATTAGAATTGTTAGTGCTTTCTTTTAGTTCTAATTGCTGTTCCTCGTCAATAAAATTATCAAATTCGTACTCTTCATCAAGTTTTAATTTTAAGCGGTCCCATTTTGAAGAAATGTCTTGTAGTTCATATAACAAGTTAGCTTTTGTTATACTCTCGTCGCGATTTACTAAATGCTCAACTAATTTTGTAAATTAGGCGCAAACGTGCGTTACGATAAGAAAGTGATAACCGATTAACGATCGGTTTTTGGCAATTTATACATTTGTTCATATCTATTTTGAGGAATTTCCTTAATATTTTATCGCACACCCATGTTCAAGGTTAGATTATATTCAATTCAATCGCATTAGAAAATGTGTCTATGTCTATTGACAGAATGTCTCAACCAATAAACTTTAAAAAAATACGCACCTACAAGCACAAGTGGCCCAAATTAAACGAGCGGCCCACCGGGAAACTCCCGGTATCCCGCCTGCCCAGTCCGGCTCTGAACACAACCCAGTTAAATAAAAATTGGTGACAAAACTACAAAATATGCGTATATTTCGTATAATAATAAAAGAACATAGGAGTATAGGACGCTCGTATACCGTCTATACTATCTAACACTGAATTATTAGTGCCGTTACTATTCGATAATAGTACAATAATTGTTATAATTATTACAACAACATCATGAGACTCAAAACTCGTTTAACGCGGTGACGGAAACAGCCATAAGCCCATTATACTTTCCTAGTATCGCCGGAATTGTCAACGTCTATAAAAATAGCATATAGGATTGGGACTAGGGAGTGGGGAGTGGTCGACAATAATTAAACCGTTCGCCACCAGAGTCCAGAGAATAATAATAATTATAAAAATTTATTTTCAGCATTTTGATACAATAAAAACTGCTTTGCGCGGGACAACTCTACGAAGCTAATATTCATAGTAGATTCACCAAATTTTTTTAATAAATAAAAGAGAATTGTATCTGTGTCGTAGCGTTTATCTTTTTTTGATATCAATACTCGTTAATTATTTATAAGCAAATGAAAAAAACAAAAATTAATGAATCTTTCCGATTAAATAACTTGGATTGTGTTTAAGTTATCAAAAAAGTAAAAACGCTACGACATAGATAAAGTTCTATTTTGTTTATTCTGAAAATTTGGTGAATCTACAATGAATATTGGCCTTGTAGAGTTGTCCCCCGCAAAACCATTTTTACGCTTAAATTATGGCTGGTGTAGCGTCCTCTTAAGTGCTAGAGAGTCACTGTGATGGATGTGGTAAATTCAAAATCTATGATATAAATACATTGTATATGAAAACGATTATGAGCGAAAACAGTCTGTCAGCCTATAATTTTACTAAGTATATTTTATCGATATTATGTGAATTGTAATTTATTTTACTATTAAGCATGAGTAGGTACTAGGCTACCGTAGGGTAAATTAATTTTTGTCGAAAAATTGCATTTAAAAATGACATTGTGTATATATAAAATATAATAAACCTATATACCTAAAAAATTTTAAGTACCTAATTAAAAGTCTTTTTAGGGTCGCCCCTTGTATTTCATTTTATAACTATGACAAAAATGTCATGGGGTTATAGTTGATTATGGGAAGGTACCAAACAAATAGTTTTACTCCAGTGTGACTTAAGAAAGATTCGGCGCCACTGCGATTCAGGTAATTATATTAGGTATATTATTATATTTAATTACCTTAAAAATATCATAAAAATGTTTTTATAAATTACAATATACCTAGTAGATCTATAACTAAATAAAAATACAAAGGTATACCAGCTACCTAAGACTTAGGTCCTAAGTGCAATATTCATATCTCAGTTGCTAACATTCTTAGGAAATAGACCGGGCAACGGAAACTTTAAAGTAAAATTTGGTGAATGGTGATATTATAGGGTCAGTCAATCCCGCATACTCAACAACGGGCTGCCCAGGGGTAAGTTCTGGCTCCAATACGTTTTTAATATTGATACCAGCGATTTCCCAAGTACAATATCTAAGAAAATTGTATACGCTGATGAGGGGGCAGCAAGAGATTAATTCGGCCCATTTTTCAAATTCACCATTAAAACCAGCTCATAGTTTTAATTTTTTAGATTCTGAGTGGAACGATGAATGTATTGATTTTACAACGATGTGTGTTTTTATATTTTTTTTTAAATTTTTTTTTTGTGTCTGTGAACGATAAGTAGTCGAAATAATGCTTCGATTTTCGACTTCAGTATCTTGTTCGATTGGAAAGTGAATATCGTTGGTGCATTGAGGAGGTCAAATTTTAAAATTCCCAGTACTTTTCAAAAGCGCCAAGAAAAACAAAAGAAAAATTAAGGAAAAACGGGAATTTTTACGCAAAATCGATTTTTCAGAAAATTGAATTTAGTTTTTGGTGTAACTTTAAAACAAATGACCGTAGATACATGCAATTTTCACTGGTTGTTTATATTT